ACAAAAAAATACAGATAAGAGCAGCATGCCAAAGCCACTTATACTATGCATAGCATTACGGGCTGGCTTAAAATTAACTTAAGATTAACTAAGCAATGATGAAATCAGTGATAAAACATTAATGTAAACAGATTACTATAAAGCACAAGTGAGTATTACAAAGACAGGTCATATGGTTGCATGGCATTGTTGTACATTCAGTCGTATGGAGTATTCTGTTAGGTAGTGTATTTAAAAAATAATAAAGTTAGATTGGGGTTTTTGGTTTAACATTTATGTGATATAATTGTGAGAAACATTTTAAAATATACAATTTATAAGGTTCAGTTATTCAGTATTTATTTGGTTTTGGGGAGTAAGTGATCTTTGAGAAGAGACTTGAATTTATAAACAGGTAGTGTTTCTTTTATATTTAAGGTAATGAATTCCAGATTTTAGGGGCCCTTTTATGTGCATTGAGTTTTTGCATAGTGTGAGATGGACACAAGGAACATCAAAGAGTGATCTGTGCCTTGTGTTATGGTCATGTGTTCTGTTGAGGTTGGCAAGGAGATGTTTGAGGGGAGGGTTAATATCAGAGTTAAGTGTTCTATGTATGTAATAGGTGCAGTAATAAGTATGGATGTTTTGTATGGTGAGTAGGTTTAGTGTATTGAATATTGGTGGAGTGTGCTGCCTGTAGTGAGAATTTGTTATCATTCTAACTGCAGCCTTTTGTTGGGTAATTAGTGGTCTGAGATGGTTAATTGTTGTTGAGCCCCATGCACAAATTCCATAGGTGAGATAGGGGTAAATAAGAGTGATATAGGCCAGGAGGGCTGACTGTGGAGCATAGTACCGTATCTTCGATAGTATGCCTACAGTCTTGGAAATTTTCTTAGAAATTTGTTGTATATGTGTTTGAAATTTGAGTCTATTATCAAGGTGGATTCCTAAGAATTTTCCCTCTGTTAGCTTTGTGATAGGTGATCCGTTTATCATTATGTTAAGAGGGACATCTGTAGCTCTGTTACCAAACTGAATGAAGTAGGTTTTGTCAATGTTTAGTGTAAGTTTGTTAGTCCTCATCCAGGTAGATATTTTCTGTAATTCGGTATTTACAGTATTGGCTAGCGTGACTGGGCTCGGGTGGGAGAAGACGTATGTAGTGTCATCTGCAAATAGTGTGGGTTTGAGTAATTGCGAAGCATTTGGTAGGTCATTTATGTATAGGAGAAAGAGAAGAGGGCCAAGGACACTTCCCTGTGGGACACCAACTGTAATTGGTTGTGCAGAAGAGTTTGCCCCATTTGCGTACACATATTGGCTTCTGTTGCTGTGGTATGACTTGAGGTAGTTGAGGGAGTGCCCTCTTATACCATAGTGTGACAGTTTTACGTGGAGCAAGTCATGGTCAACTGTATCAAAAGCTTTACGTAAGTCAATGAAGATCCCCAGTGGGACTTCTTTTTTCTCTATTGCAGTGTATATATGTTCTAGCATGTGTATAATAGCATCATTAGTATTTTTATTAGGCCTGAATCCAAATTGGCAGGGGTTGAGTATGTTTTGGGAGATAAGGTAGGAGTAGATTCGTTTATGAATTAATTTTTCGAAGATTTTTGAGAGAGGGTGTAAGTTGGATATTGGCCTATAGTTATTCAACTCTGTTTGGTCTCCTCCTTTGTGGATCGGGGTGACCCTTGCTATTTTGAGTACTGTAGGGAAGGTGGAGGATTCAATGGATTTGTTAAAGAGTGTTGCAATGATTGGTGATAGCACTTGTGACACTTTTTTGTATATAAAGGGTGGTAAGGTATTTAAATCTCCTGCCTTGTTTTTTAGTGCGTTGATAATAAGGGAGACTTCGTATGGGTTAGTCGGAGCTAGGAACAGTGTGTTCGGGTAGTTGCCAGTGAGGTAGTCATTTGGTGGGGTATCTGAGCTTGGGATTTTATTGGCAAGGTTTTGTCCTATAGTGGAGAAGAAATCATTGAGTCTGTTTGCTGTTTCTGTTGGTGGAGTTGGGGTTCATCTGATTTTGCTAATTTTATTTCGCTATTTCGTGATATCTTTTTTGTTCCCAGAATTTCTGATAGGGTTTTCCAGGTCTTTTTTATATCACCTCGTAAGTTGGATAATCTGTTCTCATAATACAATTTTTTTGCCCTTCTTATCAGGCTGGTTAGGATTGACGAGTAACGTTTTGTTTGGTCTCTGGTTATGTGACCCATTCTGCACTGTTTTTCATATTGGTGTTTTGTATTTATGGATTTGAGAATGCTGGGTGTTAGCCAGGGACTGTTCAGTCTCTTAGGTGTCATCTGTTTAGTTTTTTTAGGGCAGTGCTTGTTATACAGGTATTGGGTCTTTTTTAGAAAATTATTAATACATTCGTCAATATCTGTATAGATTTCTAGCTCAGTGTGCCAGTCAATGTTTGCTACTGCTGTTGTGAAGTTATTAATGGCTGCCTCATTGTGAAGTCTGAAGGGGTAGTTTACCAAGAGTTGTTATGAGGAAAGTAGGGTAGTGGTCTGTGGTATTATCTGTAATTATGCCTGATTTTAAAGGGGATATGGTGTTGGTCCAGATGTGGTCAAGTAGGGAAACACTAGTCTCTGTAACTCTTGTAGGTTTTGTTACTGTTGGTAGCAACATACAGTTACTCATTGTGTTTGTGAATTCAGTAACGTGTGGGTCCTGGTCTTGCAGGAGATTTATATTGAAGTCACCTGAGAGTAGTAAGTGATCTTTGTTCATGCGTGCATCAGTTATCATACTTCCTAGGTTTTGACTAAATTGGCTAATGTTTGACTGTGGAACTCTGTAGATGTTTATCAATGTGAGAGGTTTTTGTAGGTATTTGGATTTGAATTTGGCTATTATATATTCCCCATGTTCATCCCTTGTGCAAGTATTAGTGATACATTCTAGTTGGTCTGAGTAGTATATGGCTGTGCCACCCCCTTGTTGGTCTGGCCTACAGTTGTGTACAGCTGTGTAACCAGGAATGGCATAGACATCTGTACTATCAGGCTTTAGCCAGGTTTCAGTTAGTGTAATGATGGACATATTGGCATGTAAGGAATTTAGTAATGCTATGAGGTCATCGTAATGCTTGCTTAAAGATCTGAAACTTACTACTGTGCAATCTATATCTACAGGACCTTAAATTCCAATATTAACCTTGACCTAAAACACTTTCTTGATAGTTGTGACAGGATCCACAGGCATAACACAAACATCTCTATGACATTCCCCGTGTTCGACTAAAATTCAATGTATTTCAAAATACCTAAAATCTGGAACACCCTACCTGAAAACTCTAGAACTGCAGACACATTCATCACTTTCAAAACTACAGTTAGAAAACATCTTATCTCCCTAATCCACCCCGACAACTAACTACGTGATAACCACCTGGTGGTTCAAAATTACACTCGCAAAACAAAAGCATTCACATTGCTAAACTCACAAATTATGATGTAGTCACTTAGCCTTAATACCATAATCTGTAAGGATTTAACCCTTTGACTGTCGCAGCCCCCAATCCTGAGGTGTCTCCTGGTGTCGCAAAATTTAAAAAAAAAAAATTATTTTTTCTTATGAAATGATAGAGAATCTTTTCCCGGTTGTAAAGACACCAAAAAAACGAAATTTGATGGGAAAACTGACGGAATATCAATCTCGCGAAGTTAGCGACCTCGGCGGTATTTACAAATCGGCGATTTTGCCCACTTTGAGCCCTATTTTCGGCTAATTCCATTATTCCAGTCAACCAAACTCATAGCTATTTCTTCAGAACTCCATTTTTTCCATCGTTTGAGTACAAGTAACTGCCCATTTACCGATTTCAACTACCCAATAACATGGTCAGAAATTTGCAATTTGGCCAATTTCACGAAAATTAAAAAATATGACAATTTCAAAATAAGGACCAGAATGAACAATGCAGACATTCCTGGCTCTAAAATAACATTTTCTTTGTTCATCAGTCATGTCTCCAGGCCCCTCTGATATTACTCTTGCTTTTTATTTTGAAATTTTATTCAAACAAAAAATAGAAGATTTACTGTTATGCAGACTACTGCAATACTGTAATAATTGTAAAAATTACATCAACCCATTCATGACTGCATATTAGAATGGCTATTTGGACATTTATTGAACAATGACATCATTTGTTTACTTTTGAACATCGGCAAAAATCAAACATTTCCCGTACTTTGTGCTCCATTTCCAGGTTCTTTTTATAGTAAAATTAATCAAAATCACCTCTATTTCTATAATATAGTTTCCATTCTATCAAATGAAACCAAGAAAACGAGAATACAACCACAAATACTATACAAAAATAGACCACAAAGTCGGCATTTTAATTAAAAAAAACGGTCGTAGTTTTTTTTTTCTCATTATGCACTGCGTGCTCCAGGATTTTTTTTATATGGTGCACACTGACCACACAGACCCATTCTCTCACATGTGGGCCTACCAGCTTTCTCCTGCCTGATTTGAAGCCGCTAGAATTTATGAGTATACGTATATACGTCAAACACGGTACCTCGTAAACGTATACTATATACGGCCGCGACAGTCAAAGGGTTAATGTTAAGAATTAATCTAAGTCTGCTGGAAATGCCTAGCCATGCTAGGTGTCCTAGTGGCCCCCTCTGTAATTAGTATTTTATAACATGTAAACCACAAAATACCCAAAACCTGTAAACCCCACATTGTAACCATTATAGAGAATAAACTTGAATTGAATTGAATGTCCACTTGGAGTCTCGCGGTGTCTTCGATAGAGGTCACTGCCATGGTAATCCGGGTGTCATCCACAAAGGAAGACACGGAGGAAGAAGGAAGAAATGTATTAAAATGTTTATTGCTAGCATTTGCATCTTCTTTTGGTAGTTTCCTGATAAAATAAAAATGTAGAGAAAAACTCACATACATAGATTGTATATTCAGATTTATGTAATTTTTATCTCTTTGAAATTCCACTTGCTTACTCTTCCTAGCTGGAGCTGCGGAAGATGCTACTTGATCGTATGGTAAATTTGTTAAGCCGTGGATGTGTTCTGCCTGTCATGAAGTATATTAAGAGCTGTTCCACAAAAGGAGACACTGACATCTCTCTCATTCGCTACTTTGTTCGGGAGGTAAGTCTTTACAAATCTCCCACTGGTAAATAGTGGCCTGCCTGTATACAGCAAATTATGTTCATTAAGGTACTGATTTTTTTTTTTGGGTAGAAGGATTTGGTTCTTTTAGATTTTAGTAAGGATACAGTAGGCATCATAAATATGTATGCTCAGTAGTATGCCTTTAGCAGACTATTTGTTGGACAGATTAGAATAGTGCCATGGCAACTTTTGTATGGAAGATGTTGCTCCTGGCCATACTGACAGATGTATAAATATTTAGCTTTCCTGCAGTGCTCCTCTTTCTTGGTTCTTTTTGATTATAATAATCCTCTTTCTTGGTCTTTGACTGACCTCACTACTTCTACTACTACTACTATTTCCTTTCCTACTACCTTTGGCTGCTACCTTCACTTAGGCCTCCTTTCACTCTCCCTTGCTATTCTTGTCTCACCAACCACTCTCCCTACTTTACACTAAGATTACTGCTTCTACTACTACCACTACCAGCCTTACCCCTACCACTATTATCATTACTACTTCCACTATCTGCCTTTCCTCCACCACCACCACTACTACTACTACTACCACTGCTCTTGTCCCCTACATGCCAGCTGGCCTACATATACAGGTTCCATCTCTCTTTTATGTTAGTGTGACTTTGTAAATGGTCCAAGTCAGACCAGAACATTGTCGTAAGCTCCTCTCTCTCTTATATGTGGGTTATTTGTGTATTTTTTCTTAGTACAGCCTCTCCTCACTTAGTGACATATCGTTTACTGACCACTCAGACTTACGACCAGCTATCCAACCAGTATGCAGACCTATGTTAGAGCTGATTTCCTCTATTCTATTTATTACAGTATACAATACACTACTGTATAAACATTTAAAAATATACTAAAAATGTTATAAATGGTGCAAAGGTGACTTACCAACTTACTCTTCACTTACCAACCTACTCTTAGGAACAGAACCCTGTTAAGTGAGGAGAGGCTGTATTGTGCCTTTTTGTTCTTCAGTACATGTGTATATTTATGATGCCTATTTGCATGTACCCCTACCTAGAATGGCTGTATTATTTTTATTTTAGTTTTATTAACTCTTTGACTGTCGCAGCCATATATATATGTCTTACGAGGTACCATGTTTGACGTATATATACTCATAAATTCTAGCGGCTTCAAATCAAGGAGGAGAAAGCTGGTAGGCCCACATGTGAGAGAATGGGTCTGTGTGGTCAGTGTGCACCACAAAAAAATCCTGGAGCACGCAGTGCATAATGAGAAAAAAAAAACTCCGACTGTTTTTTTTTAAATTAAAATGCCGACTTTGTGGTTTATTTTCGTATAGTATTTATGGTTGTATTCTCGTTTTCTTGGTCTCATTTGATAGAATGGAAAACATATTATAGAAAAAGAGATGATTTTGATTGATTTTACTATAAAAAGAACCTGGAAATGGAGCTCAAAATAGGGGAAATGTTTGATTTTTGCCGATGTTCAAAAGTAAACAAATGACATCATTGTCCAATAAATGTCCAACTAACCATTTTAATATGCAGTCATGAATGGTTTGATGTTATTTATACAATTATTACAGTATTGGAGTAGTCTGCATAATAGTAAAGCTTCTATTTTTTGTTTGAATAAAAATTCAAAATAGAAAGCAAGAGTAATATCAGAGGGGCCTGGAGACATGATTGATGAACAAAGAAAATGTTATTTTAGAGCCAGGAATGTCTGCATTGTTCATTCTGGACCTTATTTTGAAATTGTCATATTTTTTAATTTTCGTGAAATTGGCCAAATTGCAAATTTCTGACCACGTTATTGGGTAGTTGAAACTGGTAAATGGGCAGTTTCTTGTACTCAATCGATAGAAAAAACGGAGTTCTAAAGAAATAGCTATGAGTTTGGTCGACTGGAATAATGGAATTAGCCAAAAATAGGGCTCAAAGTGGGCGAAGTTGCCGATTTGTAAATATTGCCAAGGTCGCTAACTTCGCGAGAGCATAATTCCGTCAGTTTTCCATCAGATTTCATTTTTTTGGTGTCATTACAATCGAGAAAATATTCTCTATCATTTCATAAGAAAAAATTTTTTTTTTTTTTTTTTGAAATTTTGCGACACCAGGAGACACCTCAGGATTGGGGGTTGCGACAATCAAGGGGTTAAAGACAACCTTTTCAAATTGGCTTCATATCTGAAACAAATTTGCATTAATAATGTGATGTAGAACAGGACTGTATTGTTGCTGGGTAATGTAACCAATAGTATCCACATCTGAGAGGAACTGTGTTTATGATAATTTTTTCTAGGTGAATATAAAAAATTCTTTGGTACTTGTACTTTAAACTTGATTTATACATAAATACCAGTTTTTGACACTGTTTTATGTAGTTGTCTGAAAAATTTTGTATTGGGATTGTTTTATTGAAAATAATGAGTCATATTTACTGCAGTATTTAGGATATCATGTCTGAACTATATTCATTGTTTAAATGAATGCTATCAAATTAAATAAATATAAAATATTCTAAATATATATATTTTTTAGAATAATTTAGACATTTGGCAGAAGTTGTGAAAATTGTGTTTTTAACCCTCAAACTGTCCAAACTTAGATCTACATTTTCACTGCCAGCGCTCCGAATATTTTAATTTTTTTTTTTTTAATTAAAGGGGCAATTTTCTGTGTGTTTTAAGACCAAATAAAAAAAAATTTAGGATCAGTATGCTTACCGAGATATAAGAGCGCGAAGCTGGCACTGGGTGCTCACCTGACGGCAGCATCGAGTCCTGCCGCTTGCAGAAATGTTACCGATATACCTTTTTTTCTCGTTTTTATTTTAATTTATATAATTTTTATATTCTGATAATTACAGTTTATAGTAGTTCTTGTGATTTCATACCCAATCTTTGTTCTGACACTAATATTAGGTACTAAAATAGTACTCAAATATTCACAAACTCGCTGACAGGTGAACATTTTCACCTGCCTTAGTCATTTACTATTATCTAAAAATATATAGAAAGTATTTATAAGCCTCAGCAATGTTTTAGACATGCTGGAGTATATATAAAACTCCTTGAAGCATGGTGTTATGACAAGTGTCACTAAACTGCTGATAGTGCACCAGTGGAGTGACTTGATGAATGTGTACTGCTCCAGGGAACCCTGGCTTTATTTGTTTTCACTGTTACCCACATTGTCTGTGTGTGTGTGTGTGTGTGTGTGTGTGTGTGTGTGTGTGTGTGTGTGTGTGTGTGTGTGTGTGTGTGTGTGTGTGTGTGTGTGTGTGTGTGTGTCTGTCTGTCTGTCTGTCTTTCCGTCTTCTTGTCTCTGTCTAAGGGAGTGGCTCAAACCAACAGGTATTACGCAGTCGTCACGTCTGATTCCTGAGCAAGTGAAAAGCGTATTACTTGCCAGTCATGCTTATTATACCTTATATCTACAAGCACTGTATAGCACTTTGCCTGGAAGTTTTGGGTTATCCTAGGTAATTTACACTATAATAACTGTACTTATGTGTACCTGTGAGAGACAGAGACAGAGAGACAGCCAAAGTCAGTCAGTCAGCTAGCCAGCCACCAAGCCTGCCGAATACGTATTACACGTATTCCAGAATCATTTCTCTTTACTTAGGGCATAGGTTATAGGACGTTCTGGCAGGATGACACTACCAGTGGTATCAAATGAAAGGATGTTGCACAAATGTAGCACATTGGTTATTATCGAGGTTTTTTATATTTCCTCGACCACTTGTGGCCACATCCATCTCAAAGCCACTAAACTCTGGATCAGCATCATTTTCCTCTTGAAAGGGGAGTGTTAATACGACATGACATCAGTGAATCCCTGGTGTTTGCCACGCGATTTGCTCTAGCCAGCACTCAGTTGAACTGGTGCTCCCACAAGGTACTAAGTGGTCCCAGATTTTTTTAATACTGTGCACACCGAGTGTTAAGACCCATTCTATACTGACCAGGCATCTCAGGCCAGTCGTGCTAGATTTGGAGCCAGGAAAAATAAAACATAGATCTGAGTTTGGAGTGCTAGCGGTATAAACATAGATCTACGTTTGGATTGTTTAAGAGTTAAACAGAGAAATTGGTAGTTATGATTGATGTTTCAACATCTTTCTCTCAATATTTCTACTAAGCAGTTGGAAATCAGTGACTTAGTAAAGCTAGAAATGTATCACAAGAAAGAGGGTTAAGATATTAATTGACACCATAACCAAATTACTTTATAGCACAATCAGTGTGGTTTGTGCAAGAAGCATCTTTCTAATTCCTTACTGATTTGATAACAGGTTTTAGAAATCGTGGCACCACCATACACAGTAGAGTTTGTTCAACTGTTTCTGCCACTTGTGGAGAATGAGGATATCACAGGGTCTATGAACACAGACAATGACTTGGTGACTGAGTTTATAGGTAAAATATGATAAAAAATCTATGCATTTGTAAGTGTTTAATAAGTGACTGGCCAAAATATCATGATTGAAATAACTTGTAAATTGATGGTTCATAAATTAATATTGAATGTATGTAAGGCATTAAGTTAAAATAATTCAAATATTATATAAATATAACTATTTTGTATTTTTTCTTTTCAGCTCACTGCAAGTCTAATTATTATGTTATGTAAGATTAATTAGATGAGGAAGTCATTATTTTCATTTACTACAATGAAATAAACTTTTTATAACAAGTCAACAAAATAGTTCAGTTGTAAAGAAAAACATGATGAAATCAAATTGAAGTCAAGGCAGTGGAAGATGAGATCTACTAAAGGCTACTTTTAACCTGCTATAAATACATAATTTGGATAAAAGTCACAGATTAAGCTTGCTTGTTTTCTGATCCTCCATTATATGTACAGTAATGGGTAAAAGTAATAGTGATGGCAGTTTCTTAACGATAACAACTTACAGGTTCTTTGAATGGGTAAGTTTGAGCGTGTTATCTGTGGCACATAATTACTTATGAAAACCAATAATTTCTGACATTAACAGCCCACTTCATCAGCCTGCCTGTTTGCAGTTGTTTTGGGTATAAAAATGTCTCTGATCCAGATTGACAATGCTGTGGTGATGAATCTTTTACATAAAATACCTGCTTTCTGTGCCAACAGCATTGTTTCACTGTTGTTAGTCACATGTGGGTGACACTTATTACAACATATCTGCTTCCTGGTCAGCATGAACAAATGTTGGCCAGGAAGTAACAAGCCAGTTCATTAGCCTACACCAACATTGCATCAGTTCTTACTCTTGGCTACTTGTGGTGTAAATACTTCATCTCTACTCATTTTTTTTTAATTTAAATGGGTATAGGGGAAGAGGGGGGTACACCCAACAGAAAAGGATGGAGCTGTACTCCTATCACAGGCATACCTCACTAATATGGGGGGGGTTAGGTTCTAGACCACCACCGTAAAGTGAATCACAGTTTTTTCCACTTGCCAGTGCATGTAAGAGTCTAAAAACATGTTTACATTATCATTATTATTTGCCATAGGTAATATGTTGGTAGACAGTAACCACCCAGGGAACTATTACCATCCACCCAGGGAAGTACTACCATCCTGCTAAATAATTATGAAAATGGAAACCTGTTTTGTTTTACACTGGTAAGATTACTAGCGTCTTTCCTTTGTCTCACTAACATATAAGATGACAGGTACATCTTGCTACCACTACTTGCACGTAGTTCATACTACACATGCAGCTGTGCATGTACATGTGTGTGTATACATACTCTTTTGAGTTTCCTTCTAATTTCTTAATAGCTCCTGTCCTTGTAGTACAGCCTCTCCTCACTTAGCAACGTACTCGTTTACTACGGGCTCTCTGACCAGTATGCATGCCTAATGTATATTAGAGCTGATTTCTTTATCCTGTTTATTACAATGTACAGTACACTACTGTATAAACATTTAAAAATATACTAAAACTGTTATAAATGGTGCAAGGGTGACATTAAAGCAATATCAAAGATGGATGACGAACACACTACCATTACAGTATGCTCCTTGTTTAGCCACGAATTCATTTACCGACACGGTATTAGGAACGGAACTCTGTCGTTAAGTGAGGAGAGGCTGTATTTCTTTTTGACTCTACAGGGAAGTGGAGTAGAATTCTTCCTCTATGAGTAATGCATGTTGTACAAATAATAATGGTAGAATTACCGACAAAGTGTTGGATAAACAGACACAGATGCAACTAATGTGACATTTGCTGCGGCAACATTTCACATTGGAGCTTTGTCGAGCCATTATTGTTTGACAATAAAATGTCACATTAGTTGTATCTGTGTCCATTTACCTAACATGTTGTAAAAGGCATTTAAAATGCTGGAAGCAAGGGGCTAGTAACCCCTTCTCTCGTGTGAGAACAAATAAGTAATATCCTAAATACAGGGTGCACATTAACATAATTGTACTGTGTAAGCATAATGTTTTACTTGTATCACTTGCATTAGGTTAGGATGAGATGGACAGATGTCATACATAACCTAAACTAACTACAGTGGACCCCCGCATAACGATTACCTCCGAATGCGACCAATTATGTAAGTGTATTTATGTAAGTGCGTTTGTACTTGTATGTTTGGGGGTCTGAAATGGACTAATCTACTTCACAATATTCCTTATGGGAATAAATTCGGTCAGTACTGGCACCTGAACATACTTATGGAATGAAAAAATATCGTTAACCGGGGGTCCACTGTACTATAAGTAAAATATCACCATCATATGGAAATGTGCCCTAGATGCAAGGATAACACTTGTGTCCTCGAAACTAAGTTATATTTCTGTTTTATATTAAATTAACAAAGTTACTTTTGAAAATGAGGATAAGTATTACAATATATATATTGTAATATATACTGTACCAGGTTTATTTTGCTTTTCTAGATTTGAAAACTCCTTTGACAGTTTTTGGAAAGACTTCAGAAATAGAGTAATGGCAAACAGAACTATGCAATAACTATACTGTGTAGTATTTCTTAGACAAGAGAAAAACTTATTATTTAAATGTATACAGTATATTAAGAAAAAATTAATATAAATAGGGCATAAGTGGGTGTTCACTGAATCCTACAATAGGTTAAAGTTTCTCCACTTAACACCCCTCAAAGAAGGTTCCTTGATGCTGGTGAGAGGCTCTTGATCTAGGGAATTGGATCTGTGCTCCAGTTCCCTGAATTAAGCCTAAATACATTCCACATCCCCCCACAGGCGCTGCATAATCCTATGGGTTTAGTGCTCCCCCTTGATTATAATGATAATAATAATCTCCACTTAACAGTAAATTCATCAAGAAGATTCAGAAGCATTTAGTATGTCATATTCCTACTCTTTTAGCTTGAATTTGAATGATGCAGCATCAGTCACTGTCTTCTGGTAGTGAGCCAGCCAAAGTTGAACACATTTCAACGATACCATCCAAGAAGATATTGCAAGAGAGTAACATTTTTCTTGACCTTTGGTTTTGGGGTTGGCTCCTCCTTTGCAATAGGACAGATTGTGTTGTATTCCAAAGAAAATTGAAGGCTTTGTGTTGCTCCCTTAAATGTTCGCACTGACAGCCTCTCCACATCTTCAAAACGTTCTGTTAATTGAAAACTTAAGGTTAGCAGTGCTAAGGCAAAATGCATATCTTAATTCATAATAAAAGTATCAAACCTTGTAATAAACAGTAGTCTGCCATACTGAAGGTGGCTGGTCTAATACAGTACAGTATTCTCTATAATACAACTTAATGAATTTATATTAAACTCTGTAGGTCTATAATATCAAGGACCACATTGGTTCAGATTTTCCGAGTAATTTATGATTCTTATTTTTTTTTTCAAACGGAATATTTATTCCTTTTAAGTACTGTAGTTACTGCTGCTCTTGTTTAAGCATCAGTGGCATTCATTTATTCCGCTCGTCATGTTTATTTACTAATTACAAAACCAATTTCATTCATGAAAGGTACCTTGACACCAGTGAAGGCCTCTTGATCCAGGGAATTTGAGTTACTTTTCACTTTGGATCAAACCTGAATGCCTCTTATTCCTAATGTATACTGTATAACTTATAGGTTGACCACATCCCCATAAATTTAATAATAAAGCCATCTGCAGAATTACTTATTTACCATTCCGTACATGTACTTGTAATTAACAAAATAAATTCTTGACTTAACTACTGGCTTTAATACTGTGTATACAACTACAGAGAACTCACCATCCTCGTAGTCATCACTGATGATTGGTTCCTGTCTGAACTGACTGCCACAGATAGGAACATCATTCACCAGAAGGAATGAACCACCACATCTGTTGCCATTTGTATGGGAATTCTCTTCCAAAAGTGCTGCACTGCTGACTACAGTTGTGTTTGCTGCACTGCCACCTGTAGTTGTATCTGCTGAATTGTCATATACAGTTGTACCTGCTACACTGCCATTTACAGCTATGGCTGCTGCACTGCCATCTACAAAGAAGTTTGCTGTACTGCCATCTATAGGTAAGTCTTCAGCAACTCCAGCTACTGATAAGTCTTCTGCAATGCCAGCTATTGATAAGTCTTCTGCAATGCCAACTACTGATAAGTCTTCTGAAATGCCAGCTACTGATAAGTCTTCTGAAACACCAGCTACTGACAAGTCTTCTGAAACACCAGCTACTGACAAGTCTTCTGAAATACCAGCTACTGATAAGTCTTCTGCCCTGATGTCTTCTGTAATGCCATCTACTGATAAGTCTTCTGAAATGCCAGCTACTGATAAGTCTTCTGAAACACCAGCTACTGACAAGTCTTCTGAAACACCAGCTACTGACAAGTCTTCTGAAACACCAGCTACTGACAAGTCTTCTGAAACACCAGCTACTAACAAGTCTTCTGAAACACCAGCTACTGACAAGTCTTCTGAAACACCAGCTACTGACAAGTCTTCTGAAACACCAGCTACTGACAAGTCTTCTGAAACACCAGCTACTGACAAGTCTTCTGAAACACCAGCTACTGACAAGTCTTCTGAAACACCAGCTACTGACAAGTCTTCTGAAACACCAGCTACTGACAAGTCTTCTGAAACACCAGCTACTGACAAGTCTTCTGAAACACCAGCTACTGACAAGTCTTCTGAAACACCAGCTACTGATAAGTCTTCTGAAACACCAGCTACTGATAAGTCTTCTGCCCTGATGTCTTCTGTAATGCCATCTACTGATAAGTCTTCTGAACTGATGTTTAATGTTGAATTGGGTGCAGTGATTACTACTGAATTTAGTTCACTGATTTCAACTGTAAACTTTTGTGTGCCAATGCTTATTATCAAATCTTGTGCATTGACTTCTACTGACTCTGGTGCAGTGCTGTTTACTGTTGAATTTGGTATAGTGACTACTACCATTGAATCTGGTGCAAAGATTTCCACAACTGAATCAGGTGCAAAGATTTCTACCACTGAATTTGGTGCACTGGTGTTTAATGCTGTATCTAATACACTGATTTCTAGTATTGAATCTGGTGCACTACTGTTTAATGGCACATTAGTTTCTAGTATGGAATCTGGCACACTGCTGTTTAAGGGTGCATCCAATGCATCCATTTCTACTAATGAATCTGGTACACTGATTTCTAGTACTGAATCTGGTGCACTGATTTCTATTACTGAATCTGGTGCTTTGATTTCTATTATAGTGTCTAGTGCAATATTCTCTTCTGTTGAATCTGGCACACTACTATTTAATGTTGAATTTAATGAAGTAATTTCTTCTACTGATTCTGATGCACTGATCTCTTCTATTAAATCTGGTGTACTAACTCCTATTATTGATTCCAGCACACTATTGTTTAGCAGTGAAGTTAGTGCACTAATTTCTTCTACTGATTCTGGTGCATTAATATCTATCATTGACTCTGGAGCACTGATTTCTATCAGTGAATCTGGTGCATTGATTTCTATTAAATTTGGTGCACCTATTGCTATTGAATCTGGTGCACTGCTGTTTAATGTTGAGTTTAGTGCAGTGATTTCTTCTGAATCTGGTACAGTGATTCCTAGCAATGAATATGGTGCAGTAATTTCTACTAATGAATCTGGTGCACTGATTTCTTCTGTTGGATCTGATGCAATGATTTCTACTAAATCTGGTTCTTTGATTTTTATTGAAGCTGGTGCACTGCTATTCACTGATGAATCTGGTACACTAAATTCTAATGCTGATTCTGGTGCACTGATTTCTATTACTGACTCTTGTGCATTGATTTCTATTACTGACTCTGGTATATTGATATCTACTGTCAAGTTTGATTTGCTGATGCCTACTGTCAAGTCATGTGCACTGATTACTAATAATGAATCTGAAGAACTATTATTTAATGTTGTGTTTGCTGCTATGCCATACATAGGTGTGCCTGTTTTGTCATATACAGTTTCATCCACTGTACTGCCATGTATTCCAGGGTCATTGGGCTTTGAGGAACTATTGTACAATTCTAAATTTATTGTTGCCATATCAGAACTAAAGCCAATGCCAGAGGATATGGCAACTTCATCTGGGAGAGGAGGGGCTGAACTGGCAGCTCCATCATTCTGGTTTGTTTCATTTCTCAGGATTAGCCACTGGATGTCATCATTGGACAGGTTTGCATCAAGTTTACTATTGGTGCTAGACTGAAGTTTGTGATAACTACTCTTAATTAGAGGATGTGTCACTTCAATGCTTGATTCTGGATTTACCTCCCCATCCTTCAATACCACAGGATTTTTTTCCAGGCTCTCATGTTTTACATAACCCACTGTATCTGGTGTGCCACCTGATGGATGAACAGCATCTAAAACTTGACCAACCTCATCAGCTATGCCAATAGCTGATACCTTGGAGCCCTCTTCAACACTTTCATCATCTCCAGAGTGGTCACCGAGCATTGGATTATCATGAACATATATGCTGTCAGGGTTTACTATGCTCAGTTCGGGAAGGACATTTTCAGTAGCCATGCCACTTGCAGAATCTGTTTGTGTGTCGTTTGTCACAAGAAGGGCAGAGTAATTTTTTTCATCCAAGTCGCTTGTTATATCAAAAATATTTGTTAGTTCTGAGTTAACTGCCTCATCTAGGTCACTTATGTCTGAATTTTGTGTTATAGCAGAGTCACTTGCTCCAGCTGAATCAAGTATTAACTTAATGCTGTTAACTTCCACATCAGTACCAGAGGGGACATTGAATGCTGCATTACTGCTGCCCATCTCCACCTTAATCTCTGGCACTGAATCATTATCTGTGGCTTCTCCATGCATCATGACATTTCCAAATGTTCCTATCACTCCAACAGTGTCATTATCTGATGCAGACTTTACACCCATTTCAGTTAGAGATTTTGTGTTATTAGCTAAATAATCTGCAAGAAACTGGCTTTTCAACTTTTCTAGCATTTGGTCTACATTACGCTTATCTTCATTTTTCATCTGGTCATTCACAATGATGGCCTCCTTCAGTCCTAAAATTCCTTGGTGATTTAAAGTGGATGGAGCCTCATTAAGGGTAGTTAGGTCCTCAGTAAATGGTACTGGATTCTCACTGAAGGCTGATGGACCCTCACTGAAGGCTGATGGACCCTCACTGAAGGCTGATGAACCCTCATTGAAGGTTGATGGACCCTCACTAAGGGTTGATGGACCCTCATTGAAGGTTGATGGACCCTCACTGAAGGCTGATGAACCCTCATTGAAAGTTGATGGACCCTCACTGAGGGTTGGTGGACCCTCATTGAAGGTTGATGTACCCTCACTGAGGGTTGATGACCCCTCACTGAAGGCTGATTGATCCACACTGAGGGTTGAAGTTTCCTCACCAAGAGCTGAAGGTCCCACACTGACGGTTGACAGTCCCTCACTGAGGGTTGACAGTCCCTCACCAAGGGTTGATGGTCCCTCACTGAAGGTTGATGGTCCCTCACTGAAGGTTGATGGACCCTCACTGAAGGTTGATGGACCCTCATTGAAGGTTGATGGACCCTCACTGAAGGTTGAAGGACCCTCACTGAAGGTTGAAGGACCCTCACTGAAGGTTGATGGACCCTCACTGAAGGTTGATGGACCCTCACTGAAGGTTGAAAGACCCTCACTGAAGGTTGAAAGACCCTCACTGAAGGTTGATGGACCCTCACTGAAGGTTGATGGACCCTCAATGAAGCTTGAAGGACCCTCACTGAAGCCTGAAGGATCCTCACTGAAGGTTGAAGGACCCTCATTGAAGGTTGAAGGACCCTCACTGAAGGTTGATGGACCCTCACTGAAGGTTGAAGGACCCTCACTGAAGGTTGATGGACCCTCACTGAAGGTTGATGGACCCTCACTGAAGGTTGATGGACCCTCACTGAAGGTTGACAGACCATTATTGAATGTTGACAAAAAATTACTGAAGGTTGATAAACCTAAATTAATGGTTGAAAACCCCTCATTAAAGAGTGCTGGATAATTATCAAAAGGTATGAGATCATTATAGGTCATTGAATCTATGTTGAACAATGCCTGATCCTTGTCAGAGGCTGCCTGATCCTTGTCGGCGGCTGCCTGATCCTTGTCGGCGGCTGCCTGATCCTTGTCAGAGGCTGCCTGATCCTTGTCGGCGGCTGCCTGATCCTTGTCAGAGGCTGCCTGATCCTTGTCGGAGGCTGCCTGATCCTTGTTGGAGGCTGCCTGATCCTTGTCGGAGGATGTCTGATCCTTGTCGGAGGATGTCTGATCCTTGTCAGAGGATGTCTGATCCTTGTCGGAGGATGATTGGTCCTTGCTGGAGATTGTCTGATCCTTGTCGGAGGTTGTCTGATCCTCATCAGAGGTTGCCTGATACTTGTTGGAGGTTGTCTGATCCTTTTCGGAGGTTGTCTGATCCTTGTTTGAGATTGTTTCAGCTATGCCAGCAGTCTGATCCTTTCCAGTGGTGGTTTGATTCTCGTCAATAGTGGTTTGATTCTTGTCAGTGTTGGTTTGAGTCTTTCCAGTAGTGATTTGATTCTTTTCAGGGGTGGTTTGATTCTTTTCAGGGGTATTTTTATTCTTGTCAGTGGTAGTTTGATTGTTGGTGGTAGTGTGATCCTTGTCAGTGGTGGTTTGATGCATGTCAGTGGTTTGGTTGTCAGTGGTGGTTTGATACATGTCAGTGGTTTGGTTGTCAGTGGTGGTTTGATAAATGTCAGTGGTTTGGTTGTCAGTGGTGGTTTGATACCTGTCATTGGTGATCTGATCCTTGTCAGTGGTAGTTTGATCTTTGTCAGTGGTGGTTTGATTGTTCTCAGTGGTGGTTTGATTCTTGTCAAGGGTTCCTGAATCCTTATTAGAGGTTAGACCTTCACTGAATGTTGCTAGTTCTCCACTAGAATGCAATGTTCCTTTATCAGAGGTACCTGGATCTACACTGGCAATAGTTACTGTTTTTTCGGCAGGTACTAATACGCTTTCATCAATAGAAGTTATCACATCTTCACCAATGTTAGCTATGGGTACCTGACTAGAAGTGCCCACTAGTTTACTAGAAGAAATTACTGAACTCTCACCAGTAGACGATACTGCTACTGCATCTCCATCTGAAGATACTGCTACTCCACCAGAAAAAGATACTGCACCTTCACCAGTAGAAGCTATAGCTACTTTACTGGAGGTTACTGTATCTTCACCAGTAGAAGCTATAGCTACTTTACTAGCTATTACTGGGCTAGAAGGTGCCATGACTTCAGAAGTTGCTACCCGAACTTTATTAGTTGAATTGTTTAATAACTTGCCAGGTTGTATAACTGGTGAGCCTCCTTGAGGCAGCATACTGCTACCATCTGGAGTATTGACTGTTTCAATCTTAAGACCTTCAACATCTGTGTTATCAGTCAATGAATCTGTAACTTTTGTTGTTGCTGAAAGAAAGGCTGACATTATCTTATCTGAATTTATCACACTTGATCCCTTCGTGTCAGGAACCCTCACAGTTACATCATCTTTAACCCCACCATACATGTTTCCATCATGAACCTTTGTTTCACTGTCTTCAGGATAATTAATTTCAGATACATTAAATAGTGCTGTCTTATTAAAGACAGGTGAATCCTGTTTAATGTTACTGACTCCATGTCCTAACTGCTCTTGTTGTAGTTGTTGGACAACACGATTAATCTGGCTAATGACTTCTTCGTTACCCACAGAGTAAAGAATAGGAAGTGCTTCATGTTCACTTTTTGTTGCCATATTTTTCTCCTCTTCGTTGGCAGTTATTAGACTCGGGTCACTTGACTCAGTCTTTATGTGTGTGGCATCATCTTGTGTAACATTGCTGCTTCTGCTGGACTGTGTGGCAGTATACTGCTGGTATAATGTGAGAGGAATGCTATTGTGTGTCTGACTACTTCTGCCTGCATTTCTCAGGTCAGCTTCAGTTTGAACTTCAACAGCTTTTGTGACTTTGCCAATTACATTATAAAAAGCATCACTAACTTGCTCTTTTACAGAAGCCAACTGCCTAGATGATCTATGTCTACCATGCTTATGATTTTCTGCATTTCTTCTATCCCTGTTATCAGTCTTTACTTCACTTCTTTTATTATTGATGTCACTTTGGCGATAGTAAGACAAAGACTGGTTTACTTGAACATTGGTGAATTTACGACTGCAAGATTCATCAGTTTTTTGGGATCTGTAAATTAATTTTCTTGTAAGATTATTGAAAAATCATGCCCAACCCTTTTCATGTGCATTACCATATATATTTCCAAAATATAAGTTACTTTTGTCCATTACAGAGCATATAGTGCCTCATGTATACTATTTCACTTGTACAATATTTATTAGCTATTTCTTAATTCATATATTAAAGCTACATATAAACACTGTTTAATACTAATTCTATTGTCTTAAGGTTAATAATTTCAAGGCATGAGTTTGAGACAGGGAAGAATGAAGAATATATTTATCACTAAGGTGATTTTTATACAAATTTTTAAAATATCTGCTCACTGGAGATCACTCAAAGAGTAATGGTAAAAAAAGGAAAATCATTTTCAAGTGATGACTGTAATACTGAGACTATTAAATTATACAGATACGTATTCTGGTTGGGTAAAATATTTCAAAGAGATGTTGAAATGTAAATGTCAAACAGAATAGTCATTTAAGAGCAGTTCAAGGGAGAGTCAGAACATCTTGGTGAGAACAGAAAGACCTACATGGTAGGTTGTTAAAATATTCACCTGAGAAGTGATCCCCAGGCACCCCTCACCAGAGGAGAGGGCACATTCATAGCCATTCAGCTTGCCATTAATGCATTTTTTTGTTTTACACATAGGCCATCTTTTTATAAATATGTATTGCAACCCTTAAAAATTATCAAATGTGATTTTTTCCTCACCTGGCCAATTGACTGAAACAGATGTCATAGTTGAGATTATCCCTGAAATTTTCTCCATAGTTGAGAGAGCGCACCTTAGATGATATCTCCCTGTAGTACTGAAGACACCCAGGGGGAGCTGTAAGAAAATAATGAGTTAATATGACTGACATTAAGAAATCCACAAATTGTTTCTGCCTTTTTTTTTTTACTTAAACAATCATAATGTCAGTGGATGTTATGTAGTATGTACAGTACTGTACCCACCAACTGACCACAAATACCATAATAATATTCTTTTTTATTTTATTACCACTGGGCATTTCATATCAAGACAGAATAACCTAAAGAAGGAAATATTCACCATCATTAATTCTCTTGCTGTCTTGCCAAAAGTGCACAGACACCTCAATTCAAATGACCCGAACTGCAACATCCTCACCTATCCTTCAGTGAAGTACTGTACTTCCCTCCACTTTTCACAGAACTAGTCCAGCTAAATAATATTAGTAGTATTAATAATAATAATAATAATAATAATCCTATGTAGTAGGTTGGTAGACAGCAATCACCCAGGGAGGTACTACCGTCCTGCCAAGCGAGTGTAAAATGGAAGCCTATAATTGTTTTACACGTTAGTTTAATATGTTTATTATGCACCTCATACCCATCCTGTGGGCGGTAGGACTCCTGGTGTCTTTTTTCTGTCTCATAAACATGCAAGATTTCAGGTACATTTTGCTACTTCTACTTACACTTAGGTGACACTACAATTGCATGTCACAAAGTATATACACACCCCTCTGGGTTTTCTTCTATTTTCTTGCTAGTTCTTGTTTATTTCCTCTTACATCCATGGGTAAGTGAAACAGAATTCTTCCTCCATAAGCCATGCATGTCGTAAGAGGCAACTAAAATGCCAGGACCAAGGGGCTAGTAACCCTTTCTCCTGTATAAATTACTAATTTTAAGAAGAGAAACTTTCCTTTTTCTTTTTAGGTCATTCTGCCTCGGTGGGATATGTCCGGTTTGTTGAAAAAAAAAACAATTTATTTCATCTGGAATATAATGTATAAACATTGTTTATACAGTATATTCTTTTATAGGTAAATTATTTTGCTTTAATGTGAAATGCATAATATGAGAAAGGTAAAGTACCTGCATATCTAGCATCAATTTGGATAATGAGGACCCGCCACTGACGCTGAGGGATGGCTTGGAGAAACTGATTCTGAGAGCCAAGGACCACACGTACCTCTATCTCACTGTCCTCCACTTTCAAATACACTGAAATTAACATCAGATAAGCAAAAATTAACATAATATTGCAGAAGGCATTGTTGAGGTAGAGGTGGTTAAGACATTTAAAAGAGGATGGAGGAAAACAGGATGACTAGGAGGGCATGTAAATCTGGGGTGGACAGGAGAGTTAGAGATTGTCCTAGGTAAGGTTGGAAGGATTGCTAGAGGCTTGGACATTCAACAGGCTTTTGTGAGCGTGTTATGAGTGAATGGAGGAAAGTGGGTTTTATGATCTGACATGTTGGAGTGTGAGCAAGGTGATGTTTACGATGGGATTCAGGGAAACCGATAAGCCAGATTTGATTCCTGGAAGTGGGAATTACAGCGCCTGCAGCCTGGAGGTGTGAACTACAGCGCCTGCAGTCTGGAGGTGGGAATTACAGCACCTGCAGTCTGGAGGTGGAAATTACAGCGCCTGCAGTCTGGAGGTGGGAATTACAGCGCCTGCAGTCTGGAGGTGGAAATTACAGCGCCTGCAGTCTGGAGGTGGAAATTACAGCGCCTGCAGTCTGGAGGTGGGAATTACAGCGCCTGCAGTCTGGAGGTGGAAATTACAGCGCCTGCAGTCTGGAGGTGGGAATTACAGCGCCTGCAGTCTGGAGGTGGGAATTACAGCGCCTGCAGTCTGGAGGTGGGAATTACAGCGCCTGCAGTCTGGAGGTGGGAATTACAGCGCCTGCAGTCTGGAGGTGGGGTGGAGATGTTGTTTGGAGAGCCATCTACACTGTGATGTCAGTGTGCTTCTGGCAACAGTGACTGAATGAGTGACAGTGAAAAAGTTTTCTTCTTTGTGGGGATATGACCGGTGTTACAAAATAAATTACACATTCATATAAACTACAACACTAAAAATATCAATACTTATCTGTTATCTTCAATGTCGAAGATGAAGCTTATTAAAATTCAAATGCAGTGTAATTGTAATAAAATAAACAGGGGACAGAAATAGAGATATATAAAACATTAATATTTTTCCACTATTGATTCAATTTTAGCACATTTGTGAATAATAATAATATGCTTCTTCTTTACACCCACCCTGCTTCTTGCTCTTCTCTGCACCTTGGGATACCCCAGCGATTCATGTTTGCTCTCTCCCACTTCCATGTGCAAAAGCTCACTTACCTACCATAACTTCACCCTCACTTTCTTGATCCTTCCATTCTCATTCTCGTGCTATCGCAGTGTACACCAACAGTTTTCAGTCCCTGAAGGTGTAAGGCATGTGGTGGTTTTTCTGACAAAATCATCCAAGGTCATTTATTAGAATCGGCCAGTATTTTCACTGCCGAGTTGTATGCAATTCTCATGGCCATTATGCATTACAGGCTATTCAGAAATTTTATTCCTTTCATCTCATCCTCCTAACATACAACTTTGGTTGTGCCACATTTCTAATAAACACAAAGAAGTCATTTTCTGCTGGGTCCCTGGACGTGATGTTCAGGATCTCTAATTTTATGTAGGGGTCTTCCTTTCTCGGACTATTTTTTCTTATTATCACTCAACAACTTCGCAACCACTGGCAATGGTGGACCACAATAAATTTTTATCTGTTAAACCACATTTAGGTTTCTGGATATCCTCTTCTCATTGCTGTTGTGTTAGGGAGACCGCCCTCTCTTGCCTAAATATTGATAACACACTTCACTCACGGATACTTCATAGATAAATGCCCGTCACCCACTCTGTGAAGATTGCCAGGTTGCACTGTCAGTTCACAATATCTTAATGGATTTTCCTATCTATCAGCGAGCAGTTGGAATTCACATCCAACATCTCCGCCATTCCAACAGTCCTTACCCTGAATAACCTTGCTGAAAGCCCCACCTTTGATGCAGACACTCTTTAACCTTTAACAGGAACTAACTTATTGCACTAACTTTGATTTTATTTACCTTTTGCACTCTCCACTAACCCCTCCCCCCAACCTACACTAACCCTTACCCTACACACTCCTGGCCCTCGTTCCTAGCCTTCACACATTCATCTTCTAGCACATCCCTCTTGACCCACCTTACTCATTAGTAGTAGTAGTAGTATGTAAAGTGTTAAACTGCAAGGGCCACAGCGCTGTGGGAAGAGATGTGTGAGAGTAGAACTGTGCAAAAGTTAAGAATGAGCAAAAGGCAGGGTTGTGCAAAGTTGGGGGTTAGTAGGGATTGGGATTAGTACAAGCAAAACTGAAATCAAAGTTGATGCAATAGGTTAGTTTCAGTTAAAATGTCAATGAGACAGTCTGCATCAGAGGTGGACTTTCAACAAGATCAGCAAATGTGTGTTGGGGTGATTTAGATGTCGGATGTAGGTCCTGCGTGCATCCTGACAGACAATAAATGCTGGACGGACAATGCAACATGACAGTCCACACAGCGGTGCCAGCTGTTTCTCCAAATGATATTCATGTTTCATGCATGAACACGAGTGTTTGGTCTTCCAAACCGACAACGGTGGGAAGATGGCCAAAATCCTAAACATGGTATGAAAGACAACAATTTGTTGTGGTCCAAAGCTGACCAACATCCTTTCCAGCAGTTGCAGAGGCGGTAAGAGCACTGAAAAATAGTCCGAGAAAGAAATGCCCCTATGGAAAACCTGAAGGTTTTGACTGGCTCACTGAGCAGCTGAATCTGCATATCCATGGACCCAGCAAAGTACAACTTCTTTGTGCTTGTTAGAAATGTGACAGCTAAAGCTGTATGATAGGATGATGGGAGTCAAATTTCTGGACAGCCTATAACCTTGCAAGTCCGAAAATATGAATGACAAGGTGGATATGGTTGCAATGTGCTTGGCAGTAGTGAGAATTGCTTACAACTCCACTGTGAAAATACTAGCCGATTCTAATAAATGACTTCTTATGTTTTGGTCGGGAAAAACAGCTGCATTCCCGACACCATCGGGGGATTTAGAACCATCAGTGTACACTGCAACAGCAGAGTGCTTCAGACTTATCACAGCCCATCAGGCTACCAGTCCCTCTGATCCACCATAGTCTGCCACATCCATCACATTCCTTCAGACTTCTGACTCACCATTGTCTCTATGGCCCACTGTAGAGTCCCAACATAGCACTTCACATATATTAATAACATCTCAAGACTCCTGAGTCACAACAGAAAGGATCTGGGCTTGATATCAGACCTAGACAGAGTTTTGGCAAAGTCTCCCTAGAGTTATTAACCCTCCAAAATTTAAAATAAAAAAGTTTTAAACTCACTGTGTTGACCAGAGTTGTTTCCACAGAGAGGAGGGAGAAGCATTGCATTCTTGTCCCTGGCAGAAGTGCTAGTGGAGTTCTTGGTGGTGGAGACTAAGGACGAAGTGGTGGTGATGGTGAAGGAATCTTCCTCACACTGCCCTTGACGAGGAGCTCCTAACTCCAGTGACTCAAAATCTAAGCGAATCTGTTTCACCTACGAGAGCATGTAACAGGGCTTTGGAAGTATACATTACCAGAAACATGTGCCTCAATGTACTGTATTAAAAATAAAATTCAACTTCATATAAGATACACTGCATCCTTATGTATGTGTGTGTGTGTGTACTTACCTAATTGTGGTTTCAGGGGTCGAGACTCAGCTCCTGGCCCTGCCTCTTCACTGATCACTACTAGGTCCTCTCTCTCCCTGCTCCATGAGCTTTGTCATACCTCATCTTAAAGCTGTGTATGGTTCCTGCCTCCACTACATCATTTGCTAGACTATTCCACTTCCTGACAACTCTATGACTGAAGAAATACTTCCTAACATCTGTTTGACTCATCTGAGCCTTCAACTTCCAATTGTGACACCTTGTTTCTGTGTCCCCTATGGAACATCCTGTTTCTGTCCACCTTATGTGTGTGTGTATTCACCTAGTTGTGGTTGCAGGGGTCGATTCATAGCTCTTGGCCCTGCCTCTTCACTGGCCACTACTGGGTCAATCTCCCTGCACCATGAGCTTTATCATACCTCTGCTTAAAACTATGAATGGATCCTGCCTCCACTACATCGCTCCCCAAACTATTAGACTTCCTGACTACTCTGTGACTGAAGAAATACTTCCTAACATCCCTGTGATTCATCTGTGTCTTCAACTTCCAACTGTGTCCCCTTGTTGCTGTGTCCCATCTCTAGAACATTCTGTCTCTGTCCACCTTGTTAATTCCTCTCAGTATTTTATATGTCGTTATCATGTCCCACCTATCTCTCCTGTCCTCCAGGTTCGTCAGGTCAATTTCCCTTAACCTCTCCTCGCAGAGGACTAATCTTATTGCAAACATTTGCACTTTTAGTTTCTTTACGTGCTTGGCTCGATGTGGGTTCCAAACTGGTGCCGCATACTCCAATACAGGCCTAACGTACATAGTATACAGGGTCCTGAACGATTCCTTATTAAGATGTCGGAATGCTGTTCATAGGTTTGCTAGGCACTCATGTGCTGCAGCAGTTATTTGGTTTAATGTGCGCCTCAGGAGATGTGCCTGGTGTTATACTCACCCCAAGATCTTTTTCCTTGAGTGAGGTTTGTAGTCTGGCCCCCTAGACTGTACTCCATCTGCGGTCTTCTTTTTCCCTTCCCCAATCTTCATGACTTTGCACCTGGTGGGGTTGAACTCCAGGAGCCAATTGCTGGACCAGGCCTGCAGCCTGTCCAGATCCCTTTGTAGTTCTGCTTGGTTCTCGTCCAATTGAATTCTTCATCAACTTCACATCATCTGCAAACAGGGACACTGGAGTATTTCTTCCGTCATGTTGTTCACAAATACCAGAAATAGCCCCAGTCCTAGGACTGACCCTTGTAGAACCCCACTCATCACAGGCGCTCACTTTGACACCTTGCCGCATACCATGACTCACTGCTGTCTTCCTGACAGGTATTCCCTGATCCATTGTAGTGCCTTCCTGTTATCCCTGCCTGGTCCTCCAGTTTTTGCACTAATCTCTTGTGTGGAACTGTCAAATGCCTTCTTACAGTCCAAGAAAATACAATCTACCCACCTCTCTCTCTCTTGTCTTACTGCTGTCACCCTGTCATAGAACAGGGTTGGCTGTTGTTAAGCTCATTTCTTTCTAGGTGTTCCACCACTCTTCTGACAATCTTCTCCATGACTTTGCATACTATACATGTCAGTGACACTGGTCTATAGTGCTTCTTGTCTGTCTCCTTTTTTAAAAATTGGGACTACATTTGCTGTCTTCCATACATCCCTGCTTTGATAGATGTGTTGAATATTGTTGTTAGGGGTACACATAGTGCCTCTGCACCCTTTCTCAGGACCCATGGAGAGATGTTATCTGGCTCCATTGCCTCTGAGGTGTCTAGCTCGCTCAGAAGCTCTCTTCACTTCTTCCTCGGTTGTATGTATTGTGTCCAACACTGTGTGTGTGTGTGTGTACTCACCTAATTGTACTCACCTAATTGTGGTTGCAGGGGTCAAGACTCAGCTCCTGGCCCCGCCTCTTCACTGATCGCTACTGTGTGTGTGTGTATGTGTCTGTCTGTCTGTGTGTCTGTCTGTCTTGGTGCCAAATAGGTAAAAACTTGCGATTGTGGCTTAAATAGCAACGATCTTCTTGCCGAATAAGGCAAGCGAAAAATTGTGTATGCAACAATTTTTCAAAAATCATTCTGAACCTAATGAAAAAAATATATTTCATTGTGTTTGTTTATTATTAAATTAGTGTAAACTTATATAAAATATAGTTAGTTGGATTAGGTTAAATTAAATTGCGCTTGTTATAATAAGGTTAGGTAAGTTTTCTAAGGTTCTTTTGGTACAAAATTATTAATTTTTACATTACCATAAATGAAAAAATATATCTTTGAACGCATAAGAGAAAATTTTAGAAAGGATTTAATTTTAAACGAGTTCTTGCTAATTGACCAGTTTTACCTATTCGGGTGGCCACGGGCCACCAGGCCAATGTTCTGGTGGCTGAAGCTCTCGCTTCACACGGCGAGGGTCTGGGTTCGATTCCCAGCGAGGGTAGAAACATTGGGCGTGTTTACACTGGTTGTCTATGTTCACCCATCAGTAAAATGGGTACCTGGGAGTTAGTGGACTGGTGTGGGTCGCAGCCTGGGACAAAACTGACCTAATTTGCCCGAATTGCTCTGCATAACAAGCGGTTTTCTATATAGTTGTATGTCATTGATGTCAGCTAGGCCTGTATACCATGTACATGTAGTAAATAAAGTAGCCTAAGTTCCGGACACACATACAACAAATCACCAAGAAAATCTCCAAGAAAATAGGCATACTATCAAAGATAAGGTACTACGTTCCACAATCAGCTCTCCTCGCACTGTATCATTCACTCATATACCCTTATCTTACATATGGAATTTGTGCATGGGGATCAACAACATCCAATGGAAATAAGTCACTCTGTCTGACTTTTTTGGGTTATCCTAGGTTCTCTACACATATGCTGTTGTGTACGATAATTCTATGTAACTGTATTTGTGTATACCTGAATAAACTTACTTAAAACCCCTAATAACCCAGCAAAAGGCAGCAGTAAGAATGATAAATTCCCACTCCCACCAGCATACTCCACCAATTTTCAAAAGTCTGAATCTGCTTACCATTAAGAACATCCATACTTATTCATGTGCCTACTACATACACAGAACAATACACGCAAATATAAACCCCCCACTTAAACTTTTCCTCACCAACCTAAATAGGACACATGACCACAACACAAGACACAGATCTCTTTTTGATATACCTCGTGTCCATATCATACTGTGTAAAAACTCTATGCACATAAAGGGCCCCAAAATATGGAATTCATTACCAGAAAATATTAAAGTAACCCAGTCTGAAAATCAATTTAAGACTCTTCTCAAAAGCCACTTAATCACCTAGACTAATTGCTAAATACTCAGTATACATTTACTCACCTATGTACTCCCACATCATAACTGAAACTATCACATTGAACCTTTTATCCATTGTTGACAGGAATATAATTGAATCATTGTTTTTCACAAAAGCATTTTAGAATATAAATACGTATATCTTTGTATTATACAAATTTTGATTCATTTATAATTAATATTCTACTGTTCAATTATGAAATAATTACTTTCCTAATGTACAACTATGATATACTATTTCTTAGTATTAAGTAGAATGTGAGCCAATAATGTTAAGTTGGCCCATAATGCCAAGGCATAATAGAGGCTCTCTTTGCATTGCAACCCACTATTGTATATACACAATCTCAATGTACTGTTTGCAAAGACATTAAATAAATAAATAAATAAATAAATAAATATTATTATTATCCCTTCCCTTGGAGGTCACCTTGACACTCACCTCAGGGCTGATCCTCTTGACCCTGATGACACAGTCGCCAGAATCTGTTGACCGCTCAGGGAATTCTCTGTTGACGAACCATGTCCTGTTGTGCTGTACTGACCCCCCGCACACCGTTGGTACTGTTGAATATTAAGAGAGCGAGAGTGTTGGCTGCAGATGGAAGAGTGAAAAGATTCAGAAATATTTCAGTCTATCCAATTATCCCTCATGATATGATAATTTATTTATTTATTTATTAATTTGAACATGATACATTGAAGTACAAAAAAATACAGTGGTTAAGTGTAACATGCCAAAGCCCCTTGTATGCAGAGCATTATGGGCATGCTTAAAATTAACTTAAGATTAAACTAAGCAATGATATATTCAGTGGTAAACATTATTGTAAACAGATAACAATTAAGCACAAATGAGTATTTCAAAGACAGGTCATATGGTCATTTACTGTGTTGGTTCGGGACCCATTTAAACATCTCAGTCTATTCATACATCACCTTGCAACAGTTGTGGTTCAAAGCGCATGTTAAAATCAAAATTTGTGGGTTAGTTGTGAATACTAACTAATGCAGCAGACGCCCCCTGAGGGACAGCTACCGGAGGGAGCTCCTCCCATGGTGATGCAGGTGGTGTAGAGGTAGCACGTCCCTGTGTGAATGAGGGGGTTGTTGGCCCTACATTCCACCTCTTCTACATGCGCCTGTGGACGTGGTGGTAACAGACTCAGCCCCACTGTGGAGATGAATAAAATATACATTTGTTATTAACACAATTAAATTCACTCGTGACCACCCTCATTTAAATTACATTTTAAAAAACGTCAGAACAAGAGCTGTTTGCTTAACACACCCATCATACCTGGAAGGTATTCCGAGGGTCAACGCCCCCGCAGCCATGTCCACGACCAGGCCTCGCCTGTTAGGCAACGCTCTCGTTTCACACACTGAGTGTGGGTAGTTCGAGTCCCGACAAGGATGGAAACACTAGGCGTGTTTCCTTACACCTATTGTCCCCGTTCACCTAGCAAGCATGTAGATACCTGGATGTTAGTCGACTGGTGTGGGTCGCATCCTGGGGGACAAGATTTAAGGACCCCCCCCCAGTGGAAATAAGACAAGACAGTCCTGGATGACGCACTGAGTTCCTTGGGCTATCCTGGGTGGCTAACCCTCCGGGATTAAAAATCCAAACAAACTCTTATCTTAGGGTCCTGCGAGCCTCAGTAGGTAGACACTGCCTGTCTGTAGAACTTTAATTTGAAATTCGCTTTACTACAATATTCCTCATCAATTCTCCTGACATGCTTGGATCAACGGGGATTCCCAAATATTTTACTCAAGCAACTGAAGTGATGGGTTTCCTGGTTGATCAGGCTCTGATCCACCAGGAGGCCTGGTCACAGACCGGGCCGCGGGGGCGTTGACCCCCGGAACTCTCTCCAGGTAAACTCCAGGTTACACTGGAAATTAAAATTATTCACACATCAACTTTTCACTCCGCCTCGGAAAGTTAGGGCTATCGCATTAGTTACTTGAAGACGACGAAGGTTTTAGCGTGTGTCTGTTAAAAGTCAGAAATCTCTTCATACTTTCAAGTCTCAGATGAAAGCACAAAGCACATCTCTTTTCTAGAGCCTATGCTCAATAACCCACATGGAGACAGAAACGTAGAATCATTGGTTTGTATATATCGACCCGCTGATGGGATTCTCTTCAGCATGTTAGTATGTAGCGCTTATATATTGCCCGGAATGGCAATATATAAGGCCATACACGTGGCTTTCCTTGTATGACAGTATGAAGAGCCATATAAATGTGGCTTCCTCTATGTAACAGTAAGAAGAGCTATACAATTCTATGGTTTAATCGGAGATTCCGTAGTGTAGTTGTTACAACGTGCGCCTCACGCGCAAAATCCCTGGTTCGATCCCGGGCGGAAACATTACTAATTCACAAGGACTTTTTTGGGTTATCTTAGGTAATTTACACATATATCACTAGGTAGTATAAATGTACTTATGTGTACCTCTACCTATGAATTTAATGTGCGAGGGAATCCTCGAAAAAGTGGGCCGTGACTCCGTTATTCATAAACGTACCACATCTGTAAGTTGCAGGCAAGCATCTCGTGTCGCTCAAATTAAGTTTGGATGCACCAACACGTTTCAGTGTTAAGAATTGTAAGAATATAGCAAACAATTAAGTTGGGAGGGTGGAATACCAATTATACATGCGGGGCTCCCACTTGCCCAACTGCCACATTACCTCCATACCTCCACACTGCCACTAGGAATCATCCACACATACGTCACATCTGTGATTATATGCAGACTCGTACATCATTAGTCAAAAGGAAGAAACGAGCTGTTTTATACAATACGTATTTTCAACTTATCATGAATCCACTCAGACCGCTGAGTCCAGCACGATTAAACCAGTGTCGTTGCTACCTGTAGGTTACCTGTATTTCGGGAGGTCATTCCCCCCCCTGTCCCGGTCTCATACCAGGCCTCCCGGCTGCTAGTTTGATCAACCAGGCTGTTAGTGTCAGCTTCAAGCAGACCAACATATGCACCACACCTCATGAAGAGAGCTAGGGGTTTGTTGATGTTCTCCTTACACATAAAAGTTTTGGTCCGTTTACATTTAGTTAAGTTTCTTTAAGTACGTATACCCATAGCGTCCGTTTTTCACTAGAAGTTTATGGTACTCTCTGTGAAGCCGCTTGCTTGTATACGGATACATTTCAGTGAGCAAATTTGTAGCGAATCTTCCAGAGTTTTCCATCTGAAAATTATGATTTATCTTTCCTGTCAACGTTCCATAAAATGTTTCATAGTGCTCTCGATTAATCAGGAATAACCAGAGCTATGTCAACACCTCCCACTTTAACTCTCACACTCGCCTTCTAAAGTTTAATGAGATTAGACTTACTAGTGTAGAGGACCTACTCTAACAGCTATGTCCTTAAAGTGTGATGATAACCACCAACACTTGCCTACAACTGGTAGCTTGTATGTAATGACGATAAACTGCAGTTATGGCACAGAATTAAGCTATTCTTGTCTCCCCGGTTGCATGGCTTCACGCATGGAAGGAGTGTGCATCATTGCATTACCACCTTTCTCACTCTGCACACTGACAGCTCATACACTACCTTCCTTGACCTTAAATCCGCTTTTGATGTAGCCAACCGACATGTAATCATTAGTGAACTTGCCAGAATGGATGTTGGAGGATAGTTTCTCCGCTGGATTAAAGGTTACCTGTCCAACAGAAAGTCGTCTGTGTTGTTCCAGGGACATAGAAGTGTTTACCTGGAGTTTACCTGGAGAGAGTTCCGGGGGTCAACAGCCTGGTTGATCAGAGCCTGATCAACCAGGCTGTTACTGCTGGCTGCACGCAAACCAACGTACGAGCCACAGCCCGGCTGATCAGGAACCGACTTAAAGATTTTGAATTAAGAACCCCACAGGGAGGTGTGCTTAGTCCCACCCTTTTCAATATTCTGATTAATGCCTTACTTAATGCCATGCCTAGCCAGCCCCATCATTATATGGTTAGTTTTGCTGATGATATAATGATTCACACCACCGGATTCTCCAACACCCAAAACATTCTTAATCATGTACTAGCCTCGTGTCAGGACCTGGGGTTAATAATCTCAGGGGATAAAACAAAGATACTCAACAGGCGTCCTCCTCGGCAGAGAGGCACAGTTCGTCAGATCTAGTTGCATGATGGGTCTCTTCTAGAATATGTAAGCAGATACAGGTATCTAGGCTTTGAGGTTCCACTACTTGGATTTGTTGTAACGAGACTTTGTCGCCAATACAAAGAAAGGCTGAGAGCACTTAGAGTTGTGGCAGGTTTTCATCCCAGGTATGGTGCTAATGTTAAAATTGTGAAGATGATGTATTTTGCTTATATTAGATCATTGGTTGATTATGTGGCGCCACTATTTGTACTCGTGTCTGACTGGAAGCTTGGAGGGCTGGAAAAACTGCAAAACGAAGCAATGAGGATCATCCTAGGCTGCCCTCGTACTGCCAAAATTTTAAATATGCGGAAAGAACTTAATATTCCAAGCATTAGAGATCGTGTTACTGAAAGAAATATCCTTATTGGGGTCAATATGCTTAGGTTAGCCCATTCAAACCCCTGCACAGAAGCCCTCCAAACTTTCCTCAGCACTGGTGAACATCCTTCCAGATGGATCGAAAAAACTGGAACCGACCTCCGCATGAACCAGCTACATGATCTATGTCAAATTAGACAACAGACATATTTCCCTGCTCCATGGGATATTACCCCATTCCAAACTACCATTCATGTGGAAAATTGCATTTATCTGAATGTAACTAATTATGTACATAACAGTAAATGATAACAAAGATAATTATTATTTATCAATGTTACATAGACAAGTAGGAATTTGGGACACCTAGGTCGCAAAAAATGTCCCCCTTCGATACCTACCACTGTCATAACCAGGGCCAGATTAAGAAGTCTCCGGGCCCTAGGCTATTCAGATTGGCGGGCCCCCTTTGAGTTACGGGTAAGCGAAGCGACCCCTTCCAGCTTGGGGGGGGAGTCGGTGTGAGCCTGTTTAAGGTCTAATTAAATACATTCTGGCTATTTAGATTAAATTTAATAGAGAAAGTACATCAAGACAACCAAAACCATTTACCAACAGCCATTATAACTATCTTGTTAAATCATGCATTTTAAAGAGAATAAACTCAAGACAGCATAGTATTACTAGATTAGGCTATTAAAGTAGTGACATCATGTACCTATTATATTATTAATATTTTAATTATTAATTTTTTTTTCTGTCAATTGGGGGGATATGGCCCTTGTAGCCCCCTTTCCTCTGGCTGCGCATCTAAAAATTCAAAACGTTACCAGAAAGGAGTCATATACAGAACTTTTACCATAGATTAGGTTAGTGATTTGGGCTACGAATATTTTACTAATTCATCCTCCTTGATCTCCAATTTACTTAAACAGAAATCATACTGAGTCCAAGAACAATGCACAATGGTATTTATATTACCATTTTCATAACTAAACTAATCATTATGTTTTGCATGATATATGGCCTACCACCATAGATAAGGACATGAGAATTAAAGAATGCAGGGACAATTTTCAGTTTCACCCAACCAACGATTTTCTGATGTGGCTTATGTGTTTCTGGGAAATATGTAGTAAATTAATTGATGCTCTATATCACTTCCGTCGCAACTTGAATTATTATTATAATCAAGGGGGAAGCGCTAAACCCGGAGGATTATACAGCGCCTGGGGGGGTGATGTGGAAGGCATTCAGGCTTAATTCAGGGAACTGGAGCACAGATCCAATTCCCTAAATCAAGAGCCCCTCACCAACATCAAGGAACCTTCCTTGAGGGGTCGCAACTTGAAAACTAAGCATTTGCGACGGAAGTGATGTAGAACATCAATCAAATTGAGATCTGTTATTGAAATGATAAAGACTTAAAGACAGAACAAAGTGCTTTTAAAACCTACAAACGGAAGTCAGTTTGCGTTTTTAGGTTTTTCTTTATAGTATTTTTACCAAAAATGCATCTTTACTGGTCCATGCATCTTTACTGGTCCATGCATCTTTACTGGTCAAGTAACCCTATCAGGTACCTCCCTTAACATTTAGAGGCCTGGTGGCTAAAGCTCCCGCTTCACACACGGAGGGCCCGGGTTCGATTCCCG